CAAACATGGACACAGGATGTGTGCCGGGGACTCCCGAAAAGGAAAGCTCGAGCTGTGACGTTGTTGCTGCCGCAGCCGCTGCGTGCGCGCGCGCTCCCCAGCGTGGAGCTGTGTGTGCGCCGTGGCCGAGGATGCGCCGGTCTGGAGCGTTGCACCGCGCAGGGCAGACCGTCCAGTAGATGCGCTTCCCGCCTTACCGTGGCTTTGGGTTTCCATGGTTTGGGGTTCGAATCCGCCCTCTGCCACTGACTAGCTTGACATTGAATCCCCCTTAATGTCGATTTCTCACCTGTGCATTTGCTATGGAGAAAAACTGAGTTAGAGCACATAAATGACCAGGCACACTCAGTAAACCATGGAGATTATTACCATTCATTCATTTCTTTTGTTCACGCCTCTGTGTTTTTCCATTTTAAGTTTGTGTGTGTGTGTGTGTGTGTGTGTGTGTGTGTGTGTGTGTGTTAGGAAAAATAACTTATTTAAATTAAAAGGGACTGTAATACTTGTTAATAGTAGGAGGAAAGTCAACTAGCACAAAAGGGTATATTCTAAATTGAAAAGTAAAAGTCCCTCTTCTCTCCACCCACCTTCATTCCTAACTCCTGAAGTAGCCACATTTACGTTTCTTGGGTATTCTTTCAGAAGAATTTTATGCATATCCAAGCATACACATGGTTCTGCAATATTATCATTATTTTTCACTTAAAATAACTTAGAGATTGTGCCATGTCCTAACATAAAGACCTTGTCCTTCTTTTCCAAGGCTGTATAGTACTCCATTGTAAGGGAGGACCTTGAGTTAGTTGATTTGTCCCCTGTCTGTGAGCATATAGGCAGTTTCCAACCTTTTACTTTTACCAAGGTTGGAGTCAACATCCTTGACTATATATATATGTGAATGTCTGTGGGATAAATTTCAATGAGGGTAATTATGTGCCACATTATATGTAAAATTTTGATAGACAACTGGCAAATTGTCTTCCAGGAAAGTAGGGCCAATTCCTGCTCACTCTTCTCTCACCCACAGGAGATGAGATACTTCTGTAGACCATTTTTTCTGCCTTCATACAAATGACTTTCACTCTAAGAATGTTGTTCCCAGCAACACAGAGAGAATCCACGGGAAATATCTCCCTGGAATCAGTACTTGAAATAATTGGGCTTCTTTTGAGGAAAAAAAATAATCCTAGCCTTAAGGAGGCTGTGAATCTTGGCTGTAGAAGCATCAGAGCCAACTCCAGCAAAGAAGCTAGCCTACTCTCCTAGTCTCATCTCTCTTCTGCTGTGGTTTTCCCTCTGTCTCATTCTCTCATTCTCTTTTTAAAATGTTTATTTTATTTTGTATTATAGCTCGCTTAACTCCCTTCTGGAACCAAATTAAATAAACACATGGGAGGAAAGATTAAATAAATACATAGAATAGCATCTTCTTCTTTATGAAGAGCATTAATTCCTGGGACTCTGTGTGCTGGAGGATAAGGGGGGCAGGTCTAGGGCTCCCCGTTCCTTCTCCACTTGAAATAGAAGCAAAGCTCTTTGGGGGTGGCGGACTCAGCATCATGGACAGTATAGCTCTCAGCTTCTCCTCCCTCCATACTCTCTTTTTCAAGAGAGAGCCCAAGAATGCCCAAACCCCACCACAGTGTCAGTCCTTTCACCCTATGTCCATTATCCAAACATCCATTCATTCAGTTTCTCAATGTTCATTCATTTCGTATTCATTTCTTAAGGGCCTATTACAGGCCAGAAAGTAGACTTTGGTTTTATGTCTTCTGGGACCCTGAGCCCCATCTCCAGCCCTAGGTGCCCACTCCTCATCCCACAATGACCCCATAAGTGTTTTCACAGAATATGTCCCTTCACAGAATCATCTGCAAAACATATGCTGACACACTTGTATGTGTCTTCAACAATCATACAAAGGTTCTCGCAGGGTCATGCACTTGCAGCATGTCTTACTAAATGGCTACACAAATGGTTCTGTGTTAGTAGCACATATATGAGCATGTAGGAAATGCAGAAACCCACCACATGTCTGTAAAGATTAGACACACCAAACACAATTTCCCTTCTACTCTAGTTCAGATCCAGGGTTTGATTCTAATCCAAATGCATTGCCAAGGCCAGGTGAGCCCACACCAGACACGCAGGGCACACATGTCTCAAATCCACTCTGGCATCCCACTGCCTGGGAGGGAGGAGGAGGGGAGGAGTTTGGCTGGGCTGGTGTCCAGGGCTCCCCAGGTTGCGCCGTCGGGCCAGATTGGTCAGCCCCAGGTTGCCAATCCCTTCTGCTGTTCTTCCCTCTGCCACAGCATTCCTCCTTCTTAGTCACAGATAATTCCCCTACTCCCTTGGTGAGTTGCCAGGCCTTTGCTACTCTCTGTCAAGGGCTGTTGGACTAGGTCTGTGTTAGGACAAGGGTCCAAGTCACCCTAATTTTCTCATGTTAGAGGCCAGACCTGGGGGCAGGGCTCGGGGATGGGTAGGAGTGACTAGGAGAGGAGATAGAGAAGAGACAGCTTGTACTCTGGGTGTAGGCTGGCTCACACTCCCATGTCTGTGCCACTCACCTCCAGTGGACACACATACACACACTCATGGTCACACAGGATGGCTACCTCTGGAGGGCAATTTGCAACTGCATTTGGCTCCTTGAGGACTGGCAGGAAATATAAAGGGGGCTGAGCATTTTGTAGCCCTTTCCAGCTTGTCCCTTCTTCTCCCTACAAAAAGATTCTTGGCCCAGGGAAAATAAACGTCTTTGGGAGGGGAAGGAAAAGAGAGGAGCTTAGATCTATGAGTCTTAATCACACTTCAAATATAAATACACAAATGTACCCAAGGGAAATAAAGGAAATCACATACATTGAGCACTTTACAAATATTTTATGCTTCAATCTGCACAAAAGTTCTATGGAGTAAGAAATTGGAGACCATTTTCACAGATGAAGAAACAGACTCAAAAAGGTTAAATGACTTGATTGACACCACACTTCTATTCAATGGGAGGGCTGGGAGTCAAGTCCAGGCTAGCCTACTCTATAAGACAATTTAGGAAAAGATAATTAATTTTATAAAAAGATTCACTGTAAGATGGCTTTAGATGGAGAATCTCCCTGTAGCTTTCAAATAGAATGTGATGTGCAAACTTGAGCTGGCTGGTTCCCATCCCTGCAAGAATTTCCTGGAGTGATGGTCATGGATAAAAAAAAAAAAAAAAAAAAAAAAACAGTGGGTCACAACTAGTACTGAGGAATAGCACATATAAGGTTCTTCGGATCTGTTGTTTAAGTTGTTGGGGTGTGTGTTGGGGGGGGGGACCTTGGGGAAGGTGAGAGCGAATTTCTGTTTCCATGGGAAAAGGTGCGAAGGAGAATTCACTTTCTAGACAAGCACCAAACAAACATTTACTGAATGAACTAATGAATGCAGAAATTGATTCATCAAATGTTCATTGAGCACAGCCCAGTGCCAGGCTCTGGGTTGGCCCTTCAGATGCTGATGCCGCAGTGCCTGAGACTGGAAGCTTTGAATCCAGGGAAGGAGGTGGGGAGGGGCAGAGGGAGGGTAGAGGGAGCCTCCCTGCTCTCTCTTCCGGGGAGGGCTCAGCCCCTGTCATAGTTCTGGTTATGCTACTGCTCCCTCCTCCACCCCTACCTTGTTCTTTCTGCTCTAAATATCATTGTGTTCAAATAATAGTGTATATATTTTAAAAGACTCCAAGAAGACAGCTGCCTGGGAGTATTAATCATGAAGAGGCCAGCACTCGGTCTCCATGGCGACTCCTGACAGCGAATGCTGAGGAACAGCTCCATGTCCCACTTCCTGGGGCCATGGAGATGCGGGGACACTGCATCTCTTATTCTTCTTTTCTCTCTGCCTCTCCTTTCTTTTCTCTTCCTTTCCTTTCATCTCTTCTTTTCTCCTACCCTCTCCTCCACTCCCTCTTTTTTTTTTTTCTTCCTAAAGGATTTAATTAAAAGCAGGGACAGAGGCAGGGTCAGCCATCAGATTAACAAAAAACATGGCCAATGAACCTGCTGCAGAGATGAAGTCTGCATCCAGCCTCAGTGTCTGCAGTGCCCAATTCCACTCCCAAGACCTCTGCAGTGCCCGAGGGCTTCCACAACCAGTAGGGCAGAAGTAGTCTGATCATCTGCCCCTGAGGCAAGAGTAGAATGTCAGGCTCCTTCTCTGTCCCTTTTCTCTTCCCTGCTCATAGCCCATCATTAGTTTGTGGTTTGGATCATTATTTTGATTATGAGTATGGCTATTATTTTTAATGCCCACCAAAGTAACAGGCTTATTTAAAAAAAGACAAATGTTAAAAATTATAATGCAAAGAATGAGAATATCTTTCACTATCCTGTACACACACACACACACACACACACACACACACTTTTAGGTTGATTCCTAGAGATTTTTTTCATGCATATTCAGGCAACATCCATTTAGTCAATAATCATATTACCATTATCATTCGTATTTACATCCATGGGTTCATACTATACACAATCTTGAAACTAGCTCAACACTGTACCTTGAATTTTTAAATTTTTCCCATAATGATACCCATCTATAGTGTTGACCTACAGTGTTGGTAACAACTTCACCAGAATATTTCATTGTGTAGATGTATATAATTTTTTAACTTGATAGTTTCCTGTCTTTCTTTCATTATTATAAAGAATCTGGCTATCTGTAGCCTTTTATGTATACGTGGTGCATTGATGGAGTAATAATACTACAGTATTCTAGCTAACATTTGCATATCACTTACTATGGGCATTATCTAACAGGTGTTGAGAGCTTTACATGTACTCATCATTTAATCCTGACCACAACCTGATGAGTATTATTATTACCTCTATTTTACAGATGGAGAATTTAGCATGGAACACTAAGAAATTTGTCCAAGCTTACCAGGTTAGTGATGGTGCCAGGATTTGAACTCGCACTGTAGCCAAAGGCTAGATTACAGAAAGTGAAGTTTCATGCTCACTTTAGGAGCACATATACTAAAATGGGAACGATACAGAGAAGAGTAGCATGGTCCTTAAAGAAAGTGAAATTTTTAGGACAAAGGTACAAACATTTAAAATTATTTATATTGTTAAATATTCCTCTAAAAAGATTTTTCCAATCTCAGGGCCAACTAGCAGCATATGAGGACCAATTGGTAAGCAGAAAGAGGCATCCTGATGATATTTTAATTTGTACTGTAAAAATTATCAGTAAGGGCGAGAATCTTTTTACGGGGCCTTAGTATTTCCTTTTCCGTGATATAGAGGCTTAATGCCTCACCTAAAGACTTTTGAGTGAAAGCCTTCCTTATGCTCCTCACGTTCCCGCAGTAGACACTGAAGGCGAGGCTGCTCTGGCAAGGACTGGGAGGACTGGGTGGGGACATTGGGCGTGGGGGCTTCTGTACCCTCCTTACTCTTGTTCTTTCTATTTTGAATTCTTTCTATTTTTATTTATTTTTTGTAGAGATGGGGTCTTACTATGTTGCCCAGGCTGGTCTCTTAACTCCTGGGCTCAAGCAATTCTCCCACCAAGGCCTCTCAAAGTGCTGGGATTACAGGTGTGAGCCAGCACACATGGCCTGTTCTTTCTATTTTGGATCATGGGGAGAGGTGGCGAGAAGAACCAGGTGGCATCATGCCATTAGGAAAAGTGGATTCTTCCAAGGTGGCTTGGCTTCTAAGCTGTTCTCCTACAGGAGAGAGGGAGGTTATTCTTTCTCTCTTCTTCCATTCTACAGCCTTCCTTTGGCAACACTGGACAGAGCTGAGAGGTAGATGATCACAGAAGAGGTGTGTCTAGGGTGGGTTCTAGGAGGGTCAGAAGTAGGGGGACAGTTACAATGACTTCACACTGCTCCTGCCCTGTGATTTGGAATCGGCCTCTCATCAGCCCTTTGGATCTAAGCCTGGTTCTCCCTTTGTGGGCAATAATGGCCTTGGATCTTGTTAAATGTTTTTATTTGATTAAATAATGGTGTTCAGAGCACTAATTTTCCATTCATATGTTGAGAAAGTGAAAAGGAGGCTTAGTGAGGAGACTGAGAGACCAATAGCTCTAGAATAGAATTGGAATCAGAAACAAGCCTTCTTAACTTATCTATCTGGCATGTTTCTCTCTCCCTGGCCTCCTTCTGTTTTCACTTATCTGAGCTCATCTCACTGTCTTTTTCACCATCTCTCCTCCCCCGTCTTGCCATAGTTTTCTTTTTTTTGAGACAGAGTTTTGCTCTTGTTACCCAGGCTAGAGTGCAATGGCGCGATCTCGGCTCACTGCGACCTCCGCCTCCTGGGCTCAGGCAATTCTCCTGCCTCAGCCTCCTAAGTAGCTGGGATTACAGGCACGCGCCACCATGCCCAGCTAGTTTTTTTGTATTTTTAGTAGAGACGGGGTTTCACATGTTGACCAGGATGGTCTCGATCTCTCGACCTCGTGATCCATCCGCCTCGGCCTCCCAAAGTGCTGGGATTACAGGCTTGAGCCACCGTGCCCGGCCATAGTTTTCTTTAAACTCTTTGATGTAGATTGGTCATTGTACTGAGATTGGACAATGTAACTGAAATGCCGAGGCAATTTGTCTACAGCTAGGTCCATTGGGCCATAGCCTGGGTCCTCTATGTGTCCTTGAACCCTGTCCATCATCATCAAGCTGGGCTTCTGGTTGCACATGACAGAAATGTAACCTCAATTAGTTTAGACTACAAAATAAAAAAAAAAAAAAACAAGGAAGGAAAGAAGAAACTTATCACATATCCAAGAGAATGGGAAATCCAAGGAAGTGTCAAACAACCAATCTGTGAGGGCATCAGGGACACATTGGGTGTCAGAAGCTGGGTATCAGAGGCTAAGAGTTTTCAGAATGCTCTCAGCTCCTCTTTTTTCTCACTGATAACTGAAAACCTGGCCATTAACAGATTGTGTGTTCTACACATAGCTGCTGTGATAAATGGATTTTCATTCCCAGTTCCAGGTAGGGAATTCCAGAAAAGACCTTTGCTCTTTTCCCTAGGACAATTACATGGCTAGCAGGCAGGGTAATATATGGTTGACACCACTAGGGTCTTGCGCTTGTGCTTTGAGGGCCAGTCCCAGAGAATAGGAAATCACTGTGAGGCAGGAAGCCTCCCTTGTCCTTGAGGTGATAGCTGGGCAGCAATGAGCTCTGGCAGGTTCTCATAACCAGGGGCAGAAACAGTTCCCTCTGCTTAACAATGCCCCTAGAGCAAGTTGCCTACTCCATCTGTCTGCCAGCTCCAAGGAACACTGCTCAAAATAAAAATCCCTAATTAGCAATTCCTTCAATCCCGAGCAAAACAATTTATTTGTTTCCTAGAATAATCTGGAGCCACATTTGGCTTGGCAACCAGTGGGTCCCACATGTTCATGCAGTGTGCCATGTGAAGACTCCCGCAGGGAGCTTTATTCAGCTAAGGCATGAGGGGGAGTGCCCTAGGGGTCACCTTCCCAGGGAGCAGCAAGTGGGGGCCTAGAACAGAACTGGTTTTTATCAATGTTGTGCAGCGGGTTTCTGGTGCAAGGTAGGTAGCAAAGGAAGGAAGTTCAACAGGATTTCTAAGTACCTGCTCTCACAGAGGCCAAACCAGTCATCCCTACATTTGGTAGGGACACTGCAGGGGACATAGAGAATCTGACAATAGAGTAAAACCTCAAGCCAGGGAGTCAGAGGAACTGATTCTGACCCAGTTCTGCCACTGGCTTGTTCTGTGACCTTGAACAAATTACAAATACTCTCTGCTTGTGTTTTCTCACCTGTGAAATGGTAGTATGTTATCTTCTCTACCTACAGTCTCAGGATTAAGAGTCAGAATTAACAAATTAAGTGGTGATTGAAGCACAGGTAATTGCTACCAAAAAAAAAAAAAAAAAAAAAGGTCGGGGATGGTGGCTCACATCTGTTAATCCCAGCACTTTGGGAGGCCAAGGCAGGTGGATCACCTGAGGTTGGGAGTTTGAGACCAGCCTGACCAACATGAAGAGACCCCACCTCCACTAAAAATACAAAATTAGCTGGGCATGGTGGTACATGCCTGTAATCCCAGCTACTCTGGAGGCTGAGGCAGGAGAATCACTTGAACTGGGGAGGCAGAAGTTGTGATGAGCCGATATCGCACCATTGCACTGGGCAACAAGAGCAAAACTCTGTCTCACACACACGCACAAAAGGGCAATGTTAGAAACAATAAATCCTGTTAATAAATAGTGAGTAATTCTTCCTGCCCCAAATGTGTGCCCTATGTTTTCTGGGTGTCTACTCATATGCGGGTGGGACTGGTCACTATGGCCTGAATTTCATGACTAGTTATTTTCTTCCAATCCTTGCTCTCATTCATTCATTATTCATTCATCTAAATATTTGTTGAGGGCTTAATACATCAGCCAGTTCAACAACTTATTACAGAAAGGTGTGATGCATGTGCCAGTAGGAGAAGGACCGGATGGGTTGAGATCACAGAATGAAGCAGGAGGTAGTTAGCTAATCAAGATATTCTGGGAAGGCTTCCCCAAGGAAGTGACATTTGAATGGAGACTGGAAGGTTATGTAAAAGTTAGCCAGAAAAGGGAGAGGTTGAGTGGGGATAATCTAGGCAAAGGGGACAGCATGTACAAAAGCCAGAAGGTGAGAGAAAAAAGACAAGGGAGGAGAAAAGGGCTCAGGGAACTGGCAGAAGTCCATGATGGCTGGAGCATAAGGAGGGAAAGAGGCTGGAAAGGGCAAGTGGGGTCAGGTTAGAGAAACTGGTGAACTCAGGATCCTGGAAGACTTTTTAATCAGCTTTAGGGATTTGGACGTTTTTTTCCCCCACCTATCTGATCACAAGCTTACATGCATAGGCATTCAGACTTTATCCCTAGGGTAATAAGATGCCATTGAAGAGATTTAAGCTGTATAAGTAATGCAATTTTTATGTTAGAATGACCAATGTGATACAGTGTGGAAGGTGACCTAAAGGGGAGATTGGTTAGGAGGCCACTGTGGTAAGTCAGGTGAGAGTGGGCCCTCAGACTGAACAACAGGTGACAACAGGAAAGGAGAAGCTTTCAGAATCAGCAGCCATTTAGGACCTCTTTTATAATGGACACATGGGGGTGAATAGCTACTTGAGGAGCAGAAGAGAGAGTAAGGAGTCAGGGTTGACTCTTGTTTTTTTTTTTTTTTTTTTTTTTTTTAAACAGGGTTTCACCATGTTGGCCAGGCTGGTCTTGAACTCCTGACCTCAGGTGATCCGCCCGCCTCAGCCTCCCAAATTGCTGAGATTACAGGTGTGAGCCACCACGCCTGACCCTTGGGTTTGATTTAGACCATGGGTTAGACATTTTTTTTTTTCAAGACAGGCTTTCATGCTCTGTTGCCCAGACTAGAGTGTAGTGGCATGATCACGGCTCACTGCAGCCTCAACTTTCCCCAGCTCAGACACTCCTCCCACCTTAGCCTCCCAAGTAGCTGGGACCATATGCATGCACCACCACACCCCACTAACTTAAATTTTTTTTTCTGTAGATATGGGGTTTCACCATGTTGCCTAGGCTGGTCTTGAACTCCTGGGCTCAAGCAATTCTCCTGCCTTGGCCTCCCAAAGTGCTGAGATTGCAAGCATGAGCCACCATGCCTAGCCAGTGGTCATTTATTTAGGTGGAGAAACAGAGACTTCCTCTGACCCATCATGTTTTATTTATGCAGCTGTAATTTGCATACAGTAAAAGGAGCAAATCTTAAGTGTACTTACCATGTGGTGACTTTTTTTTGTTTGGAGACAGGGTCTCTCTATGTTGCCCAGGCTGGAGTGCAGTGGCTATTCACAGGCGAGATCCCACTACTGATCACCATGGGAGTTTTGACCTGCTTTGTTTCGGATCTGGGCCGGTTCACTTCTCCTTAGGCAACCTGGTGGTCCCTCGCTCTTGGGAGGTCACCATATTGATGCTAAACTTAGTGCAGACACCTGATCAGCATAGCGCACTACAGCCCAAAACTCCTGCACTCAAGTGATCCTCCAGCCTCAGCCTCCCTAGTAGCTGGGACTACAGGCACATGCCATGGCGCCCGGCCATTTG